GGGGAAGCATGTGTGCCCCCCGCCCCCACCCTGACAGCTCAGCCTGGCACCCAAGGTGGCCTCAGCCTTCCTACCTGAAAGGTCCAGGCGTGTCTCCAAGCACCGGGCTGCGGCTTCTCCAGGGCGAGTGCCTGTGAGGGGCAGAAGGCAGGGAGGGATCCCCAAATGGGCCACTGGTGTGGGTGCTCCCCAGGCACCCCACGAGGGGGAAAGTCCTCGGTCTCACGGGGCTTCCACCCCTGGCCTGGGAAGCCGGCTTGGAGAAAGAAGGCGGAGGACCCAGAGCAGGGCCAGGGGAGCCTCTGTCCTGAGCAGACGCCCTGGTCCACGCTCTGGGCTCTCAGGGACCCTGGCCCACAGGCCGGCATTGCCTTAACGCTCTCCCCACCCCAAAATCCACAAGTGGCCCTGGCGTGGGGAGCAACTTCAAGCCTGGAGGCGAGGCGGCTCTGCTGGGGCTCCCTCCCCGCTCCCTGCTGTAGGCACAAGGCACAGGCCGGAGTGGGGGCCTGGTGCAGAGGAGGGGGCCGTCCTGGGTGGGGGGAGACAGGCCAGATGTTCTTGGAATGGGACAGGGGGTGATTGATGGGGACTGGAATTCGAAGGGGGAACATTCCCCACGTGCCTTGGGCTCTGGGTGGAAAATGGGCTGTTTCTCATGGGGGTGGGGTGGCCGTCCAGCCTGGCAGGCTGGTGAGAAAGGCCCCTCAGCCCACACCTGTCCGGTGGCATTAACCCCTGCCTTCCCAGCTGCCCCTCCAGCTGGGGTCCCTCTGTGGGTGACCCTGGGGACAAGCAGTGCCTCTGTCCCGGCCCCAGGTCCCTAACCACTCTGCCACCCTGCCCAGCCGCTCTCCTCTCCCGCAGCCCCTCGGGCACCGGTCCCCGGGGGTCACTGTCCCGCACCCCAACACTGCCCAGGTCTGAGGGGGTGACCCCGCTCCCGCCAGCAGCTGCTGGGACCTAGTGAGGGTCAGCATTTGCCTCCCGGGGCCCCTCGATCCCAGCCCGGGGAGGGCGGCCTTCGGTGAACCGTCTCAGCAGAAAACGAAAGGAGACCCCCGGCGCCCCGCTTCCGCGCGGTGC